GTGGTGTGGAGACACAGAGAGAATCCTGCATGTGGTGTGGAGACACAAGAGAGATGAATACCTGCATGTGGTGTGGAGACACAAGAGATGTACCCCTGCATGTGGTGTGGAGACACAAGAGAGGACTCCCTGTATGTGGTGTGGAGACACAAGAGAGGACTCCCTGTATGTGGTGTGGAGACACAAGAGAGGACTCCCTGTATGTGGTGTGGAGACACAAGAGAGGACTCCCTGTATGTGGTGTGGAGACACAAGAGAGGACTCCCTGTATGTGAGACTCCTGTGGAGACACAAGAGAGGACTCCCTGTATGTGGTTGTGGAGACACAAAGAGGACCCTGTATGTGGTGTGGAGACACAAGAGGACTCCCCTGTATGTGGTGTGGAGACACAAGAGAGGACTCCCATGCATGTGGTGTGGAGACACAAGAGATGACTCCCTGCATGTGGTGTGGAGACACAAGAGAGGACTCCCCTGCATGTGTTGTGGAGACACTGTGGAGATGTGGTGTGGAGACACAAGAGAGGACTCCCTGTATGTGGTGTGGAGACACAAGAGAGGACTCCCTGTATGTGGTGTGGAGACACAAGAGAGGACTCCCTGTATGTGGTGTGGAGACACAAGAGAGGACTCCCTGTATGTGGTGTGGAGACACAAGAGAGGACTCCCTGTATGTGGTGTGGAGACACAAGAGAGGACTCCCTGTATGTGGTGTGGAGGAGACCCATGTGGTGTGGAGACACAAGAGGACTCCCTGTATGTGTTGTGGAGACACAAGAGAGGACTCCCTGTAAGTGTTGTGGAGACACAAGAGAGGACTCCCTGTATGTGTTGTGGAGACACAAGAGAGGACTCCCTGTATGTGTTGTGGAGACACAAGAGAGGATTCCCTGCAGCACCACACACATACCAAGGTTTCCAGAGTACAAGAACTTGACTGTGTCTATTTCAGAACTGTGCCAAGCGTACTGATTTAGCCGAATCAATATGCATGCTCCTTTTTCTCTACGATGGTAGGAAGTCATGGATAACTGTTAACAATGAATGCATCATTAACTATCCTTAACAAGTACTTTTAGTTTGTCTAGATCTCTCTCACAGACAGATGGCTCACAATACAAGGAGCACAAAACGCTATGTTCAGTCGGACTCACTGCCCACGCTGGCGCCTCTGTAACCAATATCTACTGCTTGGCGGCATCAGTTGTCAAATATTTTTTAGGTACCAATGAAAGCAGATATGACTTTGGGGAAGGGGGTTGGGGTTGTCAGTAAGTACTTTGTGTGACAACTGAACACGTTTAAAAAGGTTTTATTTATATGACTCCTTGAAGCCAGAATTCAATAATAAATGGTGTCCAATACCATTTGACGACTATTCCCTTCCTCCCGTCAGGACATACCAACTCAGTGTAAGAATTCAACAGAGGATATCAGCTAGACAAGACATGTTTGAGTAACCATGGACCATGATGCACGGGGGGCGATAACACACTATCAAAGAAGCTGTACTAAACAGAAACTAAACTAAAAATAGAAATGTTTACATAAAATATGAAGAGTGAATGTAACAACTGAACAATAGCATTTAACTGTGTCACGGCCATCCACTGTGAGCATGTACAGTCACACCTGGCTACGTGTCGGCACATCGGGAGTACATCGCCCCACACCGCTGTACAGCCACACAGATAACGCTATAGATAAGTACGACCCGTGTAACAATTGACATCCCCGTATTCAGTCGCAGGCGTCCCGCTGTTGTGAGTGGGATTTGTTGTGAGGATGAATCTCACCACCACCAAGTGACAGATCTAGGGGAGACTTCTGCAGGGTTACCGACAGGCGTCGATAGTGTCACGTATCGATGTCAAAGTTGAAGCAATAAGTTTACCAGAAATCTAAAGAAATTTGGTGTGAAACCAACAAAGAATGACATGTTATACAATTAACAATTGTAATCTAAACTAACTACATTTAGAGTCAATATGTATGTCCCTACAATGACAATGGCAGTATCAAAGTGAATGGCAGCACAATGGCTGCAGTGGTTTAACCAGAAGCACTATGACAGCAACATATCAACTCGCTGCAACAGTAGTTTTGCTTACACACAAGGCCTCGCTGGGCATTTGATAGTCTGCCTTGGATACAAGCCTCGCTGGGCATTTGATAGTCTGCCTTGGATACAAGGCCTCGCTGGACAGTTGATAGTCTGCCTTGGATACAAGGCCTCGCTGGACAGTTGATAGTCTGCCTTGGATACAAGGCCTCGCTGGGCAGTTGATAGTCTGCTTTGGATACAAGGCCTCGCTGGACAGTTGATAGTCTGCCTTGGATACAAGGCCTCGCTGGGCAGTTGATAGTCTGCCTTGGATACAAGGCCTCGCTGGGCAGTTGATAGTCTGCCTTGGATACAAGGCCTCGCTGGGCATTTGATAGTCTGCCTTGGATACAAGGCCTCGCTGGGCATTTGATAGTCTGCCTTGGATACAAGGCCTCGCTGGGCATTTGATAGTCTGCCTTGGATACAAGGCCTCGCTGGGCATTTGATAGTCTGCCTTGGATACAAGGCCTCGCTGGGCATTTGATAGTCTGCCTTGGATACAAGGCCTCGCTGGGCATTTGATAGTCTGCCTTGGATACAAGGCCTCGCTGGGCATTTGATAGTCTGCCTTGGATACAAGGCCTCGCTGGGCAAGTGATAGTCTGCCTTGGATACAAGGCCTCGCTGGGCAGTTGATAGTCTGCCTTGGATACAAGGCCTCGCTGGGCAAGTGATAGTCTGCCTTGGATACAAGGCCTCGCTGGGCATTTGATAGTCTGCCTTGGATACAAGGCCTCGCTGGGCGTCCAGGTAGACTAACATCTTGTCTCTGCAATGAACATACTTTACAGACAAAAAGTTCATAGCAAAAACAAATATAATGAAAAGGAGCCCTGAGACTTTCTTCATTTTCAGAAGCTGTGGAAATCTAGACTTGCCACATTTTCCAGACTTGCATGGGCTTTCTTGGATATATTTGCTTCAGGGCCTGTATGACAGAATAGGCATCCAGGGTGAAACCTGATCTCCTCACAACTGCTGGCCATGAGACCGACACGAGAGTTCCTCATTACGTATGTTAAAAAGCTTCCAAGAGTTTTCCATCATTTATTCAGGCTGCTCTAAAAGCTTCAAGCCAGACCTTGACACGCAATCTGAATACAGTAACAACCACTACGTCAATATGCGTAGTAGAACTACACAAATGTACAGTTGTCAATATACCTAGCAGAAGTAGACACAAGTACAGCTGTCAATATATCTAGCAGAAGTATATATATGTACAGGTGTCAGTATACGTAGCAGAAGTATACACATGTACAGGTGTCAATATACGTAACAGAAGTATACACATGTAGGTGCACGAAGAAGTATACACATGTACAGGTGTCAATATACGTAGCAGAAGTATACACATGTACAGGTGTCAATATACGTAACAGAAGTATACACATGTACAGGTGTCAATATACGTAACAGAAGTATACACATGTACAGGTGTCAATATACGTAACAGAAGTATACACATGTACAGGTGTCAATATACGTAACAGAAGTATACACATGTACAGGTGTCAATATACGTAGCAGAAGTATACACATGTACAGGTGTCAATATACGTAACAGAAGTATACACATGTACAGGTGTCAATATACGTAACAGAAGTATACACATGTACAGGTGTCAATATACGTACAGAAGTATGCACATGTACAGGTGTCAATATACGTAACAGAAGTATACACATGTACAGGTGTCAATATACGTAACAGAAGTATACACATGTACAGGTGTCAATATACGTAACAGAAGTATACACATGTACAGGTGTCAATATACCTAGCAGAAGTATATATATGTACAGATGTCATCATACCTAGCAGAAGTATATATATGTACAGATGTCAATATACCTAGCAGAAGTATACACATGTACAGGTGTCAATATACCTAGCAGAAGTATGCATATGTACAGGTGTCAATATACGTAGCAGAAGTATGCATGTGTATTGATGTTGCAGGGTTACAGTTGCAGACAGTTGCTGCTTTGGTGTTACAGTCTCTGATGAGATTATGGCTGGTCCTTATATTGTGTAAACATCACATAATGTGGTTATCCGCCTGATGTAGTCCATACTGTCCCTGTACGGGTTATCTGTGTAGGTGTGCACGCTATCTGTTATATATGACAGTGGTCCCATGCCTTGCTGTGTACAATGACAACTTGATACCTTATATATAATCTATGATAACAGGTGTGCATGAAAACCGATACAAGGTTATTCTATTTAAGTGAGAAAGAAACTCAGTGTAATGCCCATCTCCAGGATAACCCTCCCCATCTCCAGGTTAACCCTACTCACCCATCTGTAGGTTAACCTTCCACTCTCATCTACAGGTTCACCGCTCACCCCACCTCAAGGTCAACCCTACAATCCCATCTCCAGGTAAACCCTCCCCATCTCCAGGTAAACCCTCTCCATCTCCAGGTAAACCCTCCCCATCTCCAGGTAAACCCTCCCCATCTCCAGGTTAACCTTCCCCATCTCCAGGTAAACCCTCCCCATCTTCAGGCAAACCCTCCACCCTCTCCAGGTAAACCCTCCCATCTCCAGGTAAACCCTCCCCATCTCCAGGTAAACCCTCTCCATCTCCAGGTTAACCCTCCCCATCTCCAGGTAAACCCTCCCCATCTCCAGGTTAACCTTCCCCATCTCCAGGTAAACCCTCCCCATCTTCAGGCAAACCCTCCACTCCCATCTCCAGGTAAACCCTCCCCATCTCCAGGGTAACCCCTCTCAATCTCCAGGCAAACCCTCCCCATCGCCAGGTAAACCCTCCACTCCCATCTCCAGGTTAACCCTCCCCATCTCCAGGTTAACCCTCCCCATCTCCAGGTAAACCCTCCCAATCGCCAGGTAAACTCTCCACTCCCATCTCCAGGTTAACCCTCACCATCTCCAGGCAAACCCTCCGCTCCCATCTACAGGTAAACCATCCCCATCTCCAGGCAAACCCTCCCCATCGCCAGGTAAACCCTCCACTCCCATCTCCAGGTTAACCCTCCCCATCTCCAGGTGAACCCTCCCCATCTCCAGGTGAACCCTCCACTCCCATCTCCAGGTAAACCCTCCCCATCTCCAGGTAAACCCTCCCCATCTCCAGGTAAACCCTCCACTTCCATCTACAGGTTAACCTTCCCCATCTCCAGGGTAACCCTTCCCATCTCAAGGTAAACCCTCGCCATCTCCAGGGAAACCCTCCCCATCTCCAGGTTAACCCTCCCCATCTCCAGGTAAACCCTCCTCTCCCATCTCCTGGGTAACCCTCCCCAAATCCAGGTAAACCCTCCCCATCTCCAGGTTAACCCTCCACTCCCATCTCCAGGTAAACCCTCCCCATCTCCAGGGTAAACCCTCCCCATCTCCAGGTAAACCCTCCACTTCCATCTACAGGTTAACCTTCCCCATCTCCAGGGTAACCCTCCCCATCTCCAGGGAAACCCTCCCCGTCTCCAGGTAAACCCTCCCCATCTCCAGGGTAACCCTCCCCATCTCCAGGTAAACCCTCCCCATCTCCAGGTAAACCCTCCGCTCCCATCTCAAGGTAAACCCTCCACTCCCATCTCCAGGTGAACCCTCCCCATCTCCAGGTAAACCCTCCCCATCTCCAGGTAAACCCTCCTCTCCCATCTCCTGGGTACCCTCCCCAAATCCAGGTAAACCATCCCCATCTCCAGGTTAACCCTCCCCATCTCCAGGGTAACCCTCCCCATCTCCAGGGTAACCCTCCCCATCTCCAGGTAAACCCTCCCCATCTCCAGGTAAACCCTCCGCTCCCATCTCAAGGTAAACCCTCCACTCCCATCTCCAGGTGAACCCTCCCCATCTCCAGGTAAACCCTCCCCATCTCCAGGTAAACCCTCCTCTCCCATCTCCTGGGTAACCCTCCCCAAATCCAGGTAAACCATCCCCATCTCCAGGTTAACCCTCCACTCCCATCTCCAGGTGAACCCTCCCCATCTCCAGGTAAACCCTCCCCATCTCCAGGTAAACCCTCCTCTCCCATCTCCTGGGTAACCCTCCCCAAATCCAGGTAAACCATCCCCATCTCCAGGTTAACCCTCCACCTCCTTCTCCAGGTTAACCCTCCTCATACTCATCTCCAGGTAGACCCTCCGCCCCATCTCCAGGTAAACCCTCCCCATCTCCGGGTTAACCATCCGATCCCATCTCAAGGTAACCGTTCACTCTCATCTCAGGTTAATCCTCCACCCCCCATCTCAAGATAAATCGTCCATTCCAAGCTTAAGTTAACCCTCCCCATCTCCGGGTTAACCCTCCACTTCCAACACGAGTTTAACTTTCCCCATCTCCAGGTTAACCATCCTCTCTCATCTACAGGTTAACCCTCCACCCCAACCCCCAGGTTAACCGTCCGCTCCCATCTCAAGGATAACCCTCTCCATCTCCAGGTTAACCCTCCACCCCATCTCAAGGATAACCCTCTCCATCTCAAGGATAACCCTCCACCCCATCTCAAGGTTAACCCTCCACCGCCATTTCAAGGTTAACCTCCACCCTACCCTTTATTATGTAATCCTTTCACAGAACATGCACGGGATAAAATTAGCAGACGCAGAAGAGCTAACTTATCCTGTTGTTGGCGTTGAGCCATTGTATGGCCACTTCACTATCCCCGAGAACCCATAAACGCCGCCGAGTGGGCGAGTGAATGTTTTGTAACACCTCAGGCAGCAGTATACCAACGTGGATCAGACATACCAGTGACCGAGCATCGATCCACGACCTCCGTGCAGGCACACATGTCCGCTCCTAGAAGCCGTTTCAGTGTTTTTAGGGCGGCGGTTGTCAAGTCATTCTGAGTGTCAACAATTCTGACATCATCTCGTCGAAATTGACAAACATTGAACTGGTTCACAGCATGCATGCTAATCGTTCGAGGTTATGGATTGTGTGATCACGCCCGCCGACTCCGTTGTTGCATAGCCTCATATCCTAATTACGTGGATTTATGTAATAAGATGTTAATCACTGGATTGTGTGGTCCAGACTAATGTTTACACACAGCTGAAATACTGCTCACGGATATCCAAAAGGTTATCCGTGACGTCACTGGTATCCGGATGTATCCAGGTGTATCCAGGTGTACAACCCAGACTTCCGACACGGCATTACACTTCACCAGTCTATTATTTAGTCCCAAGTGAAGTCATTGTAGTTTGAACTATACATCTAAAAAGTAACAAGTACAATCATGCTGAAGCCCAGGACAATGCTGAAATTCTAGAGCGAGCTGTAGCAATCTAAACCCTGCACATCATTCTGTCGAAATGTCCAGGCAACAATAACATCGAGGTACGTCGGAATTCAGTCCGTAAAAGAAGTCGGTGTAAAACCAACAAACAACATATCTGATTTGATTAACAATTATAATTCCCTAACGAGTCTCCACACAACTGTTGGTCTTTATGAAACGTAAGATGTATTGCGAGACGACCAAGGTATGACTAGGCCTAATATAGGCCTTCTGGAACTGCATGTGTGTGTGCAGTTGACATCCTGCTAAGATGAAGAGTGCGTTTGGAATCCTAAGGAGAGCTACTCTCATATGTGATTTTTATAGTTGTTCTCAAAGAGAGGATGAAGACGTCATCACTACATTGGGTTGTAGGCTTGAGAACATGTTATACCAGATAACAGAACACCACTCTATCCCAGAGGAGGAACAGGATGAGATGTTAAGGACTCGTATGTGGGATGGACTCAAGCCTGCATTGAAGGATGTAAGTGCCATCAACAGCTTTGATGACCTACGACTTTGCTTGAGGGAAATAGAATTTGATTTCAGGAGAGGCCTTTGTACCTGTGAGGAAGCAGTCAGCCTCAGCTAAGATGGTTACTACCCTGAACTCATCTAGTGCTGCTGCCACGAAGGTGGAAGTCACAGATCGCAAAGTTCAGGCACAATTAAACCAAAAGCAAATTTACAAGAACCCATCCAGCACTCAAAGAACTCATAATAAGCGCAATAGACGTCCGGGAAACATTTCAAAGCCACAAGCCACAAGAAGATGCTTATCCCAGTTACACTCCTACAGCATAGGACAGATATTTCCCACCTCAGCCTGCGTTTGGACCTCCCAGCCAGTTTGCAGATCATCAGCAGCAACCAAGACAAGATGACACTGATGTACCTGTGTCATTACCCGGTTCATGCTCAAACAGTTACACACAAAATCAAAGCAAGGACCACCTAGATGTTATAGCTTTGGATATCTTGGCCATATTGCGCATGGATGTAGAGTCAGACTGGATCATCTAAGGCACCCTTTAAACTTTCCCAGGCCCATGGGGAAGGGTCACCTAGGTTTACTTGGGAGCCCTAAGGATAAGCAGGTATCAGGAAGATTAATCGGGACGGCCATGCTTTGTTGGACACAGGAGCCAAAGTATCAGTAATCTCAGAATCATTTTATCCTCAACACTTGTAGCATATTCCCACAGAGCCACTGGATGGTGTCTTAGATACTGAGTGTGCAGGAGGTGAGTCTCTGTCGTAATAGTGATTTATAGAAGTAACAAAATGTTATTTAATTTGGTATGGAATCAAAAACCTGACAGGATAAAGAGAGAAACAATGTGTAGACCAGTTAAGGAGGGTGGATTGGGCATGATTAATATATTTGAATATGTCAGAGCTTTGAAGATGACTTGGTTGAGAAAGCTGGTTGCTAGAGATCCCAAGTGGAAATATATTTTATATGCTAGTTATTGTAAATGTAGTGAATTTGATAAACAAGGCAAAGAATTTATTTTTTTAAATTGTCAGAATTTTTTTTAAATCCCTTCTGGATTGACTGTTTCAATGCTTTTTATGATTTTTTCTAATAAAATTACACCTGATAATTTTACAGATTTTTTGTCTGATCATATATTTTATAATAGCAATATTGCTATTAACAAGAAAACATTTTTTGTGAGGGCAGGTTTCAAAGGGGTATCTGTCAAATTTGTGATCGTGTTGATGAATATTGCAATTATCTGTCATTGGTTGATTTTAATTAAATGTATCAATTGAACGTAACTTTTTTTAGAATACTATGGTGTCATTAGCTCTATAAGAACATATTTTGCTGGCTTGTCAATAGTGAATGAAAACACTGGACAATGTCCAGAAAATACACCAATTACTCGGTTGTTACTTTCAATTAATAAAGGTTCAAAAGCCTATTACTATATCCTGTGTTCTTCAAATGGGACACCAAGAGCACAGTTAAAGTGGCAAGAGGATTTTCAGCGTGGTCTTGACTGGAACTGTATTTTCCTAAAATCGTTTAAATCAATACAAGACACCAACTTGAGATTGTTTCAGTACAGGATACTCCATAGACTTTTAACTACCAATACATTTCTTCAAAAAATTAAAATAAAAGATTCTGATTTATGTTGTTACTGTGATGAAGAAAAGGAATCTATTTGTCACTTATTATGGGAATGTGAATTTATGCAAACCTATTGGTCAATTTTTTTATTATGGTTAACAGAAGGTTGTGATCACATCCATAATCTCAAACTCACTTTGAAACTGATAATGTTTGGCTGTAAGAATAATGTTTTTACTGACTCTGTTTTTGACTTGTTCATATTATTGGGAAAATATTACCGTGTACAAATGCAAGCTCAATTCTGCTTTACCAAGTATTGCTCAGTTCAGAAGTGAGTTGAGATTGAGATATAGTATTGAAAAATGTATTTTCTTTAACAAAAGCTGCGACGCCGAATTGTATTCTAAATGGCTCTTGTATCATGGCTTATTCCAAGACGGCTGATTTAATTATATTCTTGAATAATTTGTTTCATAATTAAAATAATCTTGACAATGTGTTTCTGTGAATGGTTTGTCTTGTTTCGTAAAAGTTTCCACCTGTATCCCATTAGATTGCTGCATATCTTCTGACTGAGCGGTTCCCTGGCTGCTGTGTCTTGACTGTAACAGGGATTCAGAAATACATTTAAATTACAAAAATAGATTTATAGAAGTTACAGCTGGAGATACAGTTACAGTTACAGGAGATACAGCTGAAGCTTGAGCAGTTGCCACAAACGAGGAAGTACATTACAGACACAAGGTACAATACCAGAGTCACAGCTTCACTTGGAACCAACATTTTGATATGTTTACTTGATGATTGAAGGACGCCTCACAGACACAGGTTTACACAGAAAGCAGCTTTACATACCCCATGGTATATAGCATATCGGAGTATAGTCTTTCATGATAAGGATCTTTCACGGAATGATGGCAAGCTGGGATCCCGCAAACAGTAATAGGGATTTTAGAGGATACATTACAAGAGGACTTAGGTCACCGCCCATCTGTGCCCTTTTACAACCAACTCTAAACTCATATCTGCAAGATAATATTGACATAGCCCCCACCCTCATTTCATATGATGTATCATTGCGACATACAGCCAGTCACTCTTCAATGTCGAGCATCTGCTCTGCCAGTAGACTCTACAACAGTTATCGAATTCAACTCCTTTCAAGCCATGTACGATGAAGTCCAAACACATC